TTCTTGTGTGCGCGCGCGCCTGTAAGATTATCTGTCCAAAGGAGCTGATTAACTCAGATCCATTTGCGCTACAAGGGGTAACTTTTGTGTTCAGTGCCTAGTGGAAGATTTCACTGGGCAAAAACAAACCGATGGCTGATTTAGATCGTAACAGCCGCAATTAATCTGCTCATTCATGTCTTTGCGATGTCCATTCGACGACAATCATCCTAACAGGGACTAGATTTCTGTAGGACACTGCGCTATATTTGCGCTGCCCTCACAGCATCCTATACCATACTGGTCAATTTTAGAGTCTGTGAATCACGTTTTCATCTACCTAGATTTGCAACTGAATCAGCTTTGTGCGTCTTGTCTGCTAAAACCTTGGCTAATTCAGTAATATTGAGCCAGCAACCGTTGTCTTGCAGCCACTGTTTTAGATCAGTGTAAGAATTTATTCCTTTCTTGTCCAGGTTCGGGCTGTATAGTAGTATCTCATGCGGCCATTAATTCCATGGTAAGGTGGCAGTTAAACGGCAGCATACACTACTAGTGTATTGCTGTATGAGGTCCTACCATGTCAAAGCAAAAATGCGAATCTTGTGGCTCATCTGATGGTATCTAGGCTCTAGCAATGTGAAAGGTTCACAGAATGGTTATCCTCTGGTTAGTTCGTAGACTGGTTTTCAGGGGGGAATTCTAAATTCCCTCCCCGTAAGCTTATTTCCGGGAAGAGTTATTGGTAATCAACACTTATGAGGTTTTCCAGCATAAAACGGAGTTTTTCGGGGAAAACCAATCAAGCGTTCTTCGCTCAACTTCATGACTAGAAAATATGACAGTGGAGTGTATGCCAACGTTCCAACTCAATGGGAGTATTTGTGAATGCCTCCAAAAGGCTTCGGATTGTTCCACCGTTTACAAAGTTTTTGACAATTTCTCTGTTGCTCTAAATAGGGATTTCGGAAGCTTCCTGATCATTTAGTTCAAATTTGATGTACAGATGTTTTCCCATTTAGTCCACCCGACTTTTCGTACCCGCCTAACGGCTCCTAGTCATTCTCTGTATTCATTTAGTACTGTGATCCAAAAGAATATTGTGAGCTCCTAAGAAAACACAGTGACTGCCAAAACTTTTTGGCATACCTGAATTGCGAAAATCCGATGGTATATGTGGTTCCTGGGACAAATAATTTTCGATCCAGCGTGCAAGCGGTCAAACTGATGCCCAGTAGTAAATCAGTGGAAATTAAAAACTGTCAGAATTTAATGTTGTTTGCTAGATAGTTTTCTTGGTTGCGAAAAATTTCCACAAATCTTATGTCGCACAGCAACGCCCGGAATAAGATCGAAGACAAGAACCTAAGAAAGGGTAGCTGAAAACGTCTACATGCGTCATACATGAAACACTCAGAGAGTAGGATTGAGTAATGCAATAAATTTGATTTACATCCGAAAAGCAATCAAAAACCTAGGCCACTAGTCCGTTATTTTCCTTTGAGTTTTGCTATCGATTGTTGATCGTTTTGTAATCCAAAAACTTTACTGCAATTTCTAAGTAGTTTTCAAACACAAAGTGTAGCAGAATCGATTAAACAAAGCCAAAACCCGACAGTATGTTGGGTGGGCCAAGTCGCCCGATGGCGGAAAGTCTTTGTACTCGTCATGAAAGCTCAGTTGTTTTCTTTGAAATGCAAGTTATTTCACTTTTTTAAGTTGTGAACATTCTGACAATTTTTTTGCTTTCCCTGTTGTTAGCAAGATATGGCATAAATACACAACCAGAGGAAATCTGATAGGAAGGGAGTCTCTCAAGGAGTAAAACTTTCCGCAAAATCGTGGGCTTTTCGACTGATGCTATCTTACGGCTTCATAGCACAAAATGCTGCACAGGGGAAGGCCACGCTCAAGGATATGTGCACAATTTAGCCAATAGAGAGGTACCTTGAGACGAACGAAATAACAGACAGTGACAAATATCCAAAGGGGAAATATTGCATGGGACGCTTTAACTCGGAAAAGCCTAATCTTTTGCGACATATGCTAATAACGAGTCAATGGTGCAGAAAAATCAGTCAAACCGTCTTTTCGTCGGAAAATCACACCGGACACATGGGATGGTTTGGCCACCTGCCAACTGCTCAATGCGGTCAGCACCAGGCTTGGAAAGTCTTACATAGGAGCCCAAGTTGATGGAGCGCTATACAAATGTTTGGAGAGGATTCAAGAGGCAAATATGAAACATTCACATGGAACTGACCTGCTGGCTTGTTAATCGTGTGACAGCAATGAAGAGGCGGGCAAACGTTTGTTGAAAGTCCATTTTTTTCTCTTGGCCTTTATACCTAAAGACCATTGCAATTTGATTTATCACTCTTTAGGACAGGGAGCATGTATGCTTACTTCGTCCTGCAGAAGTTACGATAGATTTGGCATACAAAGCTAAGCAGACTGAAGAAAACGTGGTCAACAAGCACTTTATTAATCAAGTGGGTTGGTCGTCTTTGTATCCGTATGTATCCGGATGTTTCTTCGAGCCGAAGACCTAGGGTCAGTGAGATTGGCAAAACTGTCTCGGAAACTTCCTCCTTCGCCACGTACTAACGTTTCGGTAATTCCGTCTTTCGCGCAGACTGTCCGCAAATTCAGAAAGCACGATTATGATCCATAAAAATTGAACTAAGTGATCTTGATACTTTACTGACCGACAAGTTGGTGTGAGAAATTGTTTCGCTCAGAAACGTGAAGAAACATTACAGCCAATCATTCTGAACTTACCGTATCTATACAACTTTTTGTGATTAAGTTTTGCTGTCTAAAGTTCCGCGCGGCTATCTCCCTACCATATGCCAGTTGCAGTCCCAACATAACGAAAACCTTGATCACAGACGTAATACACTACGCATAAGGTTGCTGAAAATTCTTCGACAGCCCACGACCGGTTTCGCCCTTCTTGGGGCTCACCAGGTAGGCACAGTCCCTGAGTTTCCGTCAATCTTTTGTTCTACTTGAAACCAAATTGCACGAACTTAGCGAAATCCACTCATTTGCGTGCCAATTGGTTTTTGTGAGAGACAAATCTGCAACTCAGCCGAGTCTCATAAGCGAGAGATTCAGCTGGGTTCCAGGTGAGTCTCTCCTAAGACCAAATCTGTTTACAAGCGTGTGTATTTTGCTTGATCACGCCGTTTAACAAGATTCGTGTTCGCTCACAGGCACAGTCCAGCGTTGCGACCGCTACCGACCGGAAAATGACCGTTCAAACGAGAGTAATGTGAACGTGAACATTACAAGCACAACCTAAAACCGAGAAAATGTTGACAGGACCACGATCTTTCATGGTGTTTGTGATGACCTTCAACCAAATCTACTGAAACGCTGAATTTTTTTTTGCTGCCAGTGCTTTGAACTGAAGAATGAGACTGTGACTAGGGCTAGTTCCAAAACATCGGCTACGTTCGAGGGAGCCAGTAACACTATATGTATACATTTTTTGCTTACTCAAGGAAACTGAGTAAGAAATGTAGTAGCTACTTGAGTTTCGTTGGGTTGGTTGTGCTCTGTATAAAATATTTTGTCCAAGTCGAAATCATTATTGACTGAGTTTGAATTGGGCTAAAAATTAATGTCTGCGGTGTTCTTCAAAGTCGACAATTAGAGTCGAGAAGATGATTGAAGGCTTACTCAAAGGTGGCTAAATTTAGGTTGATTTCCGATGGGGTGATGAGGAAAGTGGGATTAGAAATATAAACTGAATAATGGCATTCAAGGCAGAGACGAACCGGGGAGATAAGTGTACTTGTGGGATAAACGCGAGGAAACCAAGGGGAAATATGCGACTATTTTTAAACCCTACAAGTCTGTGGCTATTGACGTATCAGTCTATACTAGAAAGTGATCGGCCTAATGTCTGTGATCTTTAGATGAACTTATCAGTTTCAGTGACAGATTTGTCTAGAGCTCCGTAGAACTCAAGCCTGCGGATCCCCGATGACATACAACAGACCATAATTGAGTAAAGGGAAAAGTTCACTAGATCCAAAATTATAAAACTATAGCGTACCTCTACAATAAACAATTCGATTGACCAAAATCTCAAGGGGTCATTTTAGATATATACTAATTTGGCCATATGCAAGCTGCCAGCCTGCATTGAGGACCCAGTCGGGATCTGGAACAATATGAGTGCGTCATCGTGATGCTTATCCGACAACTTACAATCTAGGTAATTTCAAGCGGAACTTTAAGTTACTTCTAGGACTTCTTCAACCTAATTTATTCGATAATGTTTTCACTCGGTTGAATGAAACATGATATTCTTCAGGTTGATCTAAAAGAACCCAAGATAGTCCTGATGTCATGAATCCTATGGATAGTAACTGAATTTACATAATTCCCACGTCCCCTGCTTTTGTAATGATTTCCAGAGATTTAACTCAGAGAGACCAACGTATTGCACTCGTGCGTACTTACTTCAAAGTCTTGCACGTTTAGAATAAGTACCTCTCTCATTTGCTACAAAATACGTACACCGAAGCACTCCCGCGCATGGCTATTCAAAAGGAGCTTGCTTCTAGAATCTCGATGACGGCCGATAGGACACTTTGTTGTTGTGAAGTCAAAACTCTTAACAAATCATCACAGAATACTTTTGCTCAATTTTCAAACTTTGTTCTACCAATTTTTTCATCCCTCTGGGTTGTATTATACAACTGCACACACGTCATATATAATGTTTTATATTGGAGATACCAAAAATAACTGAGTGCACAGAGTGACAGAAACGGATTCCAAAAGTTCAAATTATCATTGTTTTGCACACAGCCATAGCTCTTCTAAATTGGTTCTCTACGCTTGGACGTGTTTGCTTACTTCCTGGGATGGTTGAATCCACACGACTGAAATTTGACTAGTTGTTATAAAGAATACTGTACCTGTAGCGCAATGTCAGTGAACATCTTGGAATGGGAAATGTTTCATTTGGCCTGAATCTTCACCGTGTTCCACCGAGCTGTCTTCTACTTGGGCATTGCAATAGCATCGTATTCGCCGGAAAACAATCGTTCAGTTGAATAGTCGGGAAGTTGGTTTGTGGACACCAGCTTCGTCAAATGCTTCCATTTACGCCGATTGGCCTGAATCGCGTGCACTGCCTCGCAGCATTCAGGAAGTAACTTTGAAAGTGTTCTAAATGGGGAGATGAAATATCGGATGTATTCTTTCGAGCTTTTGATTACACTACTGAGATTGAATAGAAAACACCAAGTGTTCTGACTGAAAGTCATTTCCTTCAGAGGGAGATGTTATGAATGATCTACCGAAAAGGGCCACTCTTATAAAGCTCCTTCGCTTGTCTACCCAAAAGGGAAAAGTGCATCCTAGAGGGGACGGTTAAAAGTGGTCTCTTTTGAGGTGTATTTTGATGTAAATGTTATACCTGCAGCTGTACCGTCAGGAAGTACTCGGGTGTAAAGTCCTGAGGAGAAATCATCTATCATCCATAGGAATATTCGCGCTGTTTAAGAACGACCACGCCACGTTAATCATAGCTAATTGGTCGTGCATTAATTGGGAGCCTCAGGAAACACTTCTACAGTGCTGTATCGGAGATTAGGTACCCCATTAAGCTGAGACCTCAAGGAATGTACAGACTGCGCCGGTATGTTGATGATAGACATGTGTCTGGAGCCGATACCAGTGGTTATATCACCATGTTTAGTCTGGCTGACATCTCACAACACATCTCTGCAACTCGATCAGACCTTATTTATTCTGGTACACAGAATTGCCAAGAGATTGTATGCAGTCGTATCCGTGTAAACCTACCGAACTTTCCAACTAGGAGCGCTATCGCCTTCTGTTTACCGTCAGTGAAACGGTGGATTTTCTATATGATTTTTTAAAAGCCACAGAACACAACTGGATGTTATTGTCAGTGAACTGTGCATAGAATAGTTCAACTCAGCTTCCAAGCTTCCGGTTACGAATAACGACGAAAAGGTTGGAGATTATTGGGGTTCTGTTTTGGTAGCTATTTTTAAGACCATTCTGGGGAAAGACCAGAATCTTCATAAAAAAAATTTCAACATTCTGTATTGGGTAAATAGATGACGCCCAGACAGTTACGGCATCCAAGAAGTAGGACATAACATTTCCATGTTGCACAGTCACCTCCATCTAAATGTCGAACCACACACCAAATATAAAGACACTGATCAGCGACCAGTCCCGAACATTAAAATTCATCGTTTATATGACTGAAGGATCGGAAGTTCTATCCATCGAAAGCACATATGGACCTTCATTTGACCGTTTTTCGTCCAGTAAGGCATAAATAGGGACTCATATAATTCTGCAGTAGAGCGCTAGGTGGATTTGTCACAAGATTATCACAACAAGTGAGCTTCATAACTTCAAAAAAACGTTTTGCTCAAGCGGTTGCTAAGGGGTATTTTAACGGAAAAATATACCGAACGCCCTAAGCTGGATATCGTGCACTCACCTCCAGAGCTTGAGGTATTTCTGCCTCTGGAATACTGGGGTGATGCCACTGAGTTATAGGAACCCTATCTCGGTTCTGCGGTAGATCACACTTTCTGCACTTTAAAACCAGTCTTGTTGGTTTCTCCATCGGCTATAGTGCATCGATTCCATCCGCCAAACTTCCCCATGTGGGGATCTGGTTAGTTAATTGAGAAGAACGGAAAGGCAAACTCGACCGACAATTAACAAACGCGTGTTGACCTGAATAAAGAAGCTTCTACACCAACCAGATTTGCCACTTTCCAACGCCAATCAGAAGTTACCCAACCTACCGCAGCCAATACCGCCCGTTACTTACACTTAGTGCGTGCCAGACATGGAGGCTGCATTCGAGATTCTGTTTCACGCACCCAACAAACTGATTTGATCGGTTTATGTATTTGCATTTGCAGTTGAAAAATAGAAACCGTAGCTGTATAGACAGAAACAGTTGCCCACCTCGCTTGCGCTAACCAGGTGATTCAGTTGTCTGGTTTACTGGACGGAAGTCCTTATTTTTCTCTGTAACAACTTGAACCTCGCTTTCTGAAAAATTTAGAGGTCGCAGTGCACACCTGTATGAATCTGGTGGAGTACGTCCGGATTACTGAAATCTGTAATGGTGTCTGCTTGCTCTACGGTCGTTACGGAAAATGTTACTTGACATGCGTGCACTTTCAAGATTCGATGACTGTTGACCGGGAAATCCGATTCAGAGGTTAGTCGGTCATTTAGTTCTCCAGTGAAGGAGTACCGAAGGCTCTACTGCAATTCTTTCTACTTCGAACTTTTGCAGTATATGAAGTCACTTGTACCCCTAGTGAAAACAGTTCCCATTTGCACCAGTAGATCATTCAAGTCGCTACAAATTATTTTGACATCATACTACTAGCGAGTATAGAGTTTCCAACGACAAAATAGTTAAAGGCTACCAAAAAGCCACACTCAGCTTGACTCACTGAAAGCATGGTAATACGATGGAATCGAGGAAAACAACCTGACTCTCAGGAATGCAAACTTTTTGCGGATCCATATAGAATGGTGGTTCCTCTCCAACTAATCGCTCAAGTTTCCCCTGGTGAAAAAATTCATCGTAGATGAGACTTGCGGCCTTGCGACTGTTGAACCAAGATTTGCACTGATCGCTCAGGTCGCTCGCCGTAGCAACTAACGACAGCAACATGTGCCTATGTTCCTCACTTGATGAGTCATATCCGTCACGAGACATTTGACGTAATTTTGGTATGAGCTTCATATGAGCTTCCAAGTCCGTTGCCAAAATAACGTGGCGTACCAACTGTAAGGCTCGTTTCTCGTCCTGGAACGATGACAAGAGAAAACGACATTTGTACAGTGTCCGATGTTTTAGAAACACAACAATGCACACACACAGTCACGTGATGAGATTCCGAGGAATACCGAAATGATCAGCAAGAACCGTCTCTCTCACCTTCCACGCTGCTGGAAACATAGCCGGTTGGTTGCGAGCAATTTCAGCGAATTGCCTCAGAGTACGGCTGGCTGTCAAGGGGAAAGTTTGTCGTTCGGATTTCGCACATGGTTACTGTTCTGTCGGGTTGGCCAGACATATGCTGTTGGAGGGTGCCCTTGGTTTCGGGTGACATTTTACACGATATGGACACTCACACGGACCTTGTCTTATCACGAGCTGTTCTGGCCAGTCTTCTCTTTGGCTGGCTGGGTGAAGTCTCTTCAGATAAACCAGTAGCTGGCTGAATGGTGGAACTGTGCTAAACTACACTTTCCCCCCATTTCAACCTTTGCCCTTGAGTCTACTGAACATCTTGTGACACGTTCGTTTTAACCAGCAACACAGAGAGTCTACCGGAGAATCACATACAACAGACAACGCAGACAAGCAAGTAAACAGCCAAGCAAACGCTGAACCAAACAACAATCGAGTGCGTTTAAATAACCAATTCAGGGTTCAGAACAGTAATCAGTTGCGAACGTAAGGCACTCATAAGGTTGCTGAAAACCTTTTGACAGCCCATGATCATCATCATTTAGCCACATTTCCCTAGTTTCCATCAAACTTACGTTTTACTTGAATCCAAATTGCACGAAGTTAGCATAACACATTCATTTGTTTTGACGAGAGACTCATCTGGAACCCAGCTGAATCTGTCGTTTATGATGTCTTTAAGCACCAATAAAAATATGATATTTTTGATAACGACCAACAGACTGGATCAGGATATGTGCGGTCACACAGTTTCTTCTTTGACCACAGTTACGAAAATGCTTCTTTTCGCCAACAAACCAGCGATTTATTGTTGCGTTTGATCCATTTTCTCAAGTAGCCCTATAAGCATCCGCATTTTTGGCTTCAACAGCTAGGAAAAATGTGAACCCTGTCAAAAACAAAGCATTCCCAAAGGTGAACAAGTATGCCCAACAGGAGATTCCTGTCGTAACAGTATGACACCACATTTCAAGCTTAGCGGACCGTTTTATACGTAGTTCCTTTTTGCATTTTATTCTGGTGGGTACTTTCGCTTGAACTGGTGCACAGATTGGATCGGTTTCCACCAAATCAATGAGTAAACCCGACACGGATTTTGGGCATCGACCTACAGAATGAGTCCGAACAAAGTTGCATAACTTATTCGATATAAACAAGGAAACGTTCCACAACACATGAAGCTATGAAAAAAGTGTATAGATACGTAAAACTAGCTGGACAATAAGAAATTTTTTAAAATATACACATTAGACTTTTATCACTTCAGCTCCTTTTCCGCCCACCTAGTGCGTTTGAGCGAATTCCCCTGGTCACCTAACCTTGGATACAGTGGTTAGTTGTCTGAATGGAGTCCAGAAGATATCTTCTACTTCCAAGGGTAATGTAGTAATCATGCAAAAAAGACATCATCCAGCTAGTTTGGAAGTGCGTTATGATTTTATTCATCTTCAGCCGTAAGTACATCTTCTGGAGTGCAGATTCTGGTTGTGTTAGATTCCTGAAGAGAGAATTCCTTTCCTTAACTATGGTTTCATGAAACATTATGTAACACACTTCGTTTTCAATTTATGTAGACAACTACCGCAACGATCACTGTTTCCGTTTCAGCAAAAGGCGTCTAGCGAGATTATAGTGTGAATAACGTCGGATGGTTCCTAATTCTTCATGAGTACAACATGTGAAAGTGATGCGATTGGTTTAACGGAGGAGTTGCTGCTTTATGACATAGTACTGAAAAATGAATTAGGAACTTACCTCGGGTGACAGATTACAGAAGATATTACAGTTTGCGGTCTGGATGATTTGCATCGTATGTTCCACGTGATGACGCTCAAGAACCGAGCCGTACATACCATAAAGAGAGGAGAGTGGTGAATTGATCAGTTGCTGGTTGAAAAGAAGGAAACAAATTATTTTGGTAACAACAGCTAGCCAACAGAATTCCTATCTATGCATGGGCTGCAATTTGTGCTGATAAACTGCAAAAGCTTGATGAGAGCGGAATTCATAGAGATCTAGAGTTATAGAGGTGAAATTCTTACCGCCAAGAGACAAATGTGATGTTGAGTTTTTCTGCCGCACGTGCGACAATCGTTTAATGAAGTCATTTTTGGCTTTTCGTAGTTCGTTCAACCATTTTCATCACCTTCACTAGGATCGTTTACAAAACTATCATTATTACTGGTAAAAGGAAGAAGGCCTTCACTGCGGAGTTATTGGGTGGAAAATGCCAACAGAACGGTTACAGACGATTGGACAGGGATGTAAAACTCTCATATGCACCTTCGACGCGTCTTCCTGAACTTTTCTGGATATTCATGGACTGTTGCTCAAATCCAAGCAAATGCTTTAAAGCGACTCCACAAATTCCGTAACAGATCTCACTTTTCAAGAGACGCGAAGCGGATTTACGAGAAACTAAACTACTCCCAATCAGTAGTATCACCGTTACGCTGGTGGTACTGTCCAAGTTTATCACCATCTAGCCATCCTTATTTCTCATTGTCCTTCCCACTTTCATCAGTGTACAATTTGATTGCTTATTTCCACCGGGCCAACTATCACATGGGAGAAATGGATCCTTGAATGAATTAACAAATATGTTATCTGTACAACTCTCAATTTGACGAGAATTCTGTCATGCACCAACGGTAATGAAATTTAGGGTTGCCAGGTATTTTACCACAGTTTAGCTGTTAATTTACAGAGCACGTTGGCAAAATTGAAATCTGTCTCTGTGTTTATCATTGCTTATTTATGGTGCCTTTGAAGTCTGAGTGTGGAAATCATCCAATCGGAATTTTCGAAACGAGTTGCACGCAATTCATAGTATCAGCTAATTTGGCAGCCGTATTAGCGGTAGAGCACTTGTTTCACTCAGGTATCCAGATGGAGCACTCCGTTTAACAATCACGCACAAAAAAATCAAGAGAACATACATGTGCACTGAAACACTGGCTCAGCAGCAAGGATTTATCCGGGTTTCATATTGACCTCATCCTGTTGTGCACGAATTTTTATTCACAGTCATTACTCAAAGATTCCCGTTTACTTATCTTGAAGAAAACCGTGTGAAATTTCCCAAGGTTAATCAAGTTCGACATACCTGGAAGGAGTTGTTTAGTCCTCTGTGATCAATATCGTGACAAAGGGCGCCGACCAGTAATGCCAGTAACTCTAGCGGACTTAGGAATTCGTGTATTCTTTGCTCTGCGTTGACCATACACAAGTATGCAAAGTGACCGACACAGAAAGCATGAGTCCAATTATGGTAGGAAGGGTTGCGATAACTCCTCTGTATAGCTAATACGAATCGGACCAATGTGGAACTTGGTATCCTCCAGTGCTCCACGAACTTCAGACGAACGAACATACACACAACAGCCTAAAAGTGCGAGAAACGAAAATGCAGTGTTGCACTGGGAAATGAAAGTTGAGTTTAAATGTGAGGAGGCATATGTGAGTTTAGGCAATGTTCCTCCAACAGCACTAAGTCTGGGAAAAAAGAGGTGCGGGAACTTTTTTGGCCCCTTCAAAATGTGACGTAATAAACACACCACAATTCTACCGACATATATGATTTTTAAATTCAGATGAAAGGATTTGGGAACCGACTGAGAAGGTTTGGTAAAAGTCGGTGATTTTTAACTGGCCCATTTAAAAAAAACTATCATTTGCTTACCAAAACTTTCTTAAAAGGTGATCGTTGCACACTCAGCTGAATTTGTGTGTGACATAATCGAAATCCTAAATTAATGGGTATAAAGTGTCATGACTATGAGATTTACATTCGTCCACCTCTTTTGATTCACGAAACACACTTTTGCTCAGAGTACCAGAAGATTTTCGGTTTCATAGTTTCACCACGCAGTAAAAATGGTAAAATAAATGTCAGTTTCCTCAGATAAAGTTCGCTGACGTGATCTTCTTTCTAACAAAGTGGCTGACTGTCGGAGAGTTTTAAGAAACCTTACGATTACGTCTAAACAAGGCGTTCGATTTTTGTCTTGTCAACGGGATTCCAGTTTATCATCACTGTTATGCTACTGATAATTTGCTAGCAGCAAGTTTTTTAATTATCCACTCTCGGGCTTGCTCACGCAAAATATACACTGAGCACGTAGCGCACATCAGCTTCTTTCTTGGCGGGGACCAATACTGGGAGTAAGTATATTCAACCACAACTGAACTGAGTTTAGTTAGCCTTGATAAATATTCGTCGGTCAGGCGCTTGTTCCAACGGAGCTCTCTCACATTTCATCTCATTGGGTCTTTTGAGGACACGCTCAGTTGCAACTCCCGCTTAGCCAACGGCCATCGCTACCGGGATTCTTTGGCCTTGACTGGTGTCCAAATGCGTCATTCAGCTCGGAAATTATAGTTACAGTATGGCCTTACAGTACGCTGGCTCCCCTTGAGCGAGCCGAATAACCACTCTGCCCAATCCGTCATTGCAAAGATAAATCCTGCATAAGTGCGATGAACGGAACAGTTCTACAGTCTGCAGTTTGGCTTCGATGTTATTCACTGGAACGTCTTTTAACGATCGCTATTACGTCGCCATATTGGGGTGACGACCGTTTAAAAATCTGATAGAACTACCTGAAGAAGTGCACTGCCGAAAACTTTGGCATTAAAAGTAAGCTCACTTTACACCAAAACGGATCTAATATTAGACTATATTATGTGATACAACATGCAGAGCTCATTTTCGGCATTATTGGGCATCCTACTACAGTTGGTGCCACCAAGCTTTATGCAATCGAGGTATATTTCCCGGGAAAACTTTGCCTTCCGTTTGGTTTCATGCACACGACTGAAGATATCTCATCTGCCACGGTCGTACACTTCAACTTTACGAGCGACTCACCACAATCTACACACTGTGATGTTGACTACCTGTTACTTGCGGAGCACTGCGTGTGAATGGAACGACAACACGGGAATTCTGGAAACTTGCTTGTATGCAAGGCCATTCATCTCTCAGCAAGTTGTGTTTCCTTTAGTCGTCGCTGATGTGAGCATAATTTTTTAATTATGGGCTAGATGAAGATGTTCACTGAACGGAGCAATGTCGGAACCTAACTGTGGTTGTCCCGATAGATGGAACGAAAATGAGCGCATCAGTTTTGCATGGTTCGTGACTGCCGACAACAGATTTTAGAAAACGAAACCAGCTGGACCTGATTAAAAGTGTAACGGAAAGACACAAATCTGCTTTACTATCGGTACTGTAGTGCTTGCTCCAAACTGAAAAAAATATGAAACAGTGAACGATACAATAGGAACGCTCAGAAAAGGACTGTAAAATCCAAGCTAAAACGGCTGTTTTTTATAGGTTTAGTAGCATGCGTAATATTACGTAATATTTTTAAATACAGAAGGCAAAAAAGCCATTACATCGTTGCATTTGGTGTAAACTGTCGCCCCTGTGTACCGGAAAATATGGCAGCGCAAGTCCCAGCTAATGGCTACATCAACCTGCTTTTGACAGGTGGAGAAATTCGGCAGCGTTTGATGACGTTTGCAAGGAATTTGATGACTGAGGCCCTATCAGTCAATCATAGCAAGTTGGTAATACTCCACATGATAGATAATCCCCCCTGTGATATTTTATCACTCAGAAATTTGTAAAAATATACTGAGAGGATTTCAGAAACCCACACATACACAGAACTACTGATTCAGTTGGGAGGGGAGCACTTTATCTTAAGACGAGCAAGAAACAGTACATACTTACTTTGACGGATTGTTCAATGGGCAAACCTCGAGCGAAATAGCTGAATGTGTTGTAGTCCTTGGGACAGTTGACGTCAAATTGCGTATAGCTCTCCCTCAGAGCAAGAACAGCGTCATCGGATATCTGAAGTGGGTTGCGAACGGAAGTCAGAAAACGCAGGTCATTCTACCTCTTGATGTATGGTGTTTTTATTAGCTGAGAGGATATGGTTAACAAGCATTTTTCACGTTCTCATGGAACGTATTTTTTTATGAAATGGATGGTTTATCATGGGCTCCGAGTTGATCAGCAGAAACAGCGTTGTTACAACTCCGTATAGATTTTACATTCACAGACATTGAACGTTAGTCGAAAGAACAAATAAATGAATAATTGTCGCTGAGCTGTAACATTATTTCGATTCCTTGCTGCCATGCCATCCGAAAGAAGAATTCGGGCTGAGGTACTATCAGATTGCCCGAGTCTGGACAAAAAGAGTCAAAGTGCCGGAGTTAGAATGACTAACAATCTGTTCGGTAGTTCACTAAGCTATCCAAACTTTGCTAGATTTTTTTTCTTACTAAATCAAACAGGTCAGAAGCAGAGCGTTCGCAAGTTTTCGAAACTCGACTTGAATTACTTTCAGACTTTTTAATGGCGAAGCCTAAACACAACGTAAGCATAGGTTGCGCGTTCAAGATGACACAAACTTCGCCTTCTTAGGGCGTTGTACCTGTGGTGTTTTAGCAAGTTCCTTTTGAGCGTTTCACCAATAGCATCAGCTAACATAAAGGACAAGCAGCACACGGCCTTAATTATTTGAGTTGACTAATTTGTAGACGCCCAAGTAAACCACATTTGTCACACCACAGTGAAAAAGAAACCCTTCTGCTAAGTGTCATATTCTTTAGCACCGTTTTTCCTGAAGGCAGATGATCTCACATCCCTTACGCTTTTGCATAACATGAATACACCAACGTTACAGGTCAATTCAGATGGAACTGGAATGAACTCACTTTCAAGCTGATTTGTTTTCAAGAAAAGATTCACCCGAATTCCAGCCGAAGCTCTCGTACATTCGCAGGTGTTGTGTAAACATCATCTAATATTTCAGTCGGTACGATACTCGAGACATCAGTGCGTCTTTTCTGACACACCACTAGTAGATTGATGGAAACTTTGAAAACCATCATGAGACTCTGTCAGGCTTATTTTCCAAAGAAGCATGAAATTTCGGAATGTGCGTTCAAGTGAATATAGTGTACCACTTTGGGTGTTTTATCAGATGCAACATAGGAAGGTTTACGAATAGAATACACAAGCGAGATTATGCTTAGTCATTCGTGAAAACGAAATGATAATAATACTTTACGAATTGTGTACAATTTGGATTCAAGTAGAGCATTGGGACTCGGGATCCCGCTCATCCGAAGAACGGAGAAACGAGTCGTGGGCTGTCGAAGGGCCTTCACAACAAAATCTTTCTCTTATTCAGTTAAATCCAGTAGCCCTTTTGTCAGGAAATCATCTCAGATTTGGTCACCTTTTCCTTCCCACCCTGTCAAGAATATTGTCCTGCGGGGATCTTGGTAGCCTTAGTGAGGGTGATAATCTTTGAGTATGAGGCTAAATACAATAAGATTATGAAAAATTTTAGGTCGGATTCATCGCTTTAATTAGAGTTTTCTTACGTGTGAGCGGTTTATCACGCCTGTTCCAACTGACAGCATCCAATCAGTTCAGATATGTCTCACTTCTTTCCTCACTGTTTACACAAGCATAAAAATAGTCTTGTTTCGGCCAGTGGAAACCGTACTTCCACTAGTCTCAACTAGCATCCCTAGTTGTGTGTTTTAACTTCGTTTTGGTGTGCTCCCTCAAGAACGGCTAAGCACTGCAGATTTTGCTAGTGTTAAAATATTGGTAGCTCTGATCTGTTTATCAGTTATTGTTTAGCAGATGGCTTTTTATCTGTTCGTCAAACTTGGCAATCAAGTTGAAAACTTTTCGTCACGATACGAAGGGTCATCATGATTTCACTCAATTAGTGAAAGATCACACTTTCTTATACAATATAGAATCATGTATTTGAGGGTATATGACCTTGTATGATGAAATCCAACTTGACCGAACATGTCCGTTTGTCCGCGCAAGGTTCGTGGAAATATAAATGAGTTATAGGCCAAGGTAAATGAATACATGCCAGGTTGGAAGAAGTCTGATAGACAAATGCCCAAAAGGATTCTGTCTTGATGGAAATGCACTCACAGTTCATGTTGTCAAGTTCGAAACTGATCAGAGTATAAATCAAATGGTCTAAGTGCAATCAGAGTGCATTGTTTGCGAATAAACACATGCTTTTGCGCAGCGTGAAATCCAGCATGCCAGTTAGTGAGCAAACAGGTCACACGACTCTTTAAAATTTGTGCAGAACATACAAGGCGGGCGTGGTTTTTATAAAAATATACCTTCATGTGATACGTAAGCAGCTCAGCAAGGACCTCTTTTCGACTTTTGATAACCTCCTTCTCCCGGAGAAATGCATGCTGAAACAAAAATTATAAAATGTTAAATATGGCTTTTGAGAGCATAATGTTGGTTTCTGTCCATCAATATTTTGAATTTAAAAGCAACGCAAAGCCACGCTCCTCTATAAGAAAAATTCGGACACATCCGTCAGCCGATTTGTGGTGAAGAAATTACGACAAATCACTGGTGCGCAATTGCTGATGGGATTAAGTGTTACTTAATTCGCCTACAAGCGTTAACTGGGTGTTTCTCTCAAATATCCCACGGTCTAGCATCACTGAGGAACAAAATGTTAACTTGAGCACCACATGGAACTCACCATTTCCAAAAACGTTTAAAAACAGAGTAGTTGAATTGTTCGGAATGTCATCAGAGTGATGGTCAAAATTAATTAGACGATAGGGTTACTTCACGCAGTTAGTTGCAATCGATTTCGTAGCGTTTCTGACTTCTGTCTCCGAACGATAGTCAGAGTGCATGCAAGGAAATGGCTATTAATATTTTCATTAGTTGGAACTGTAACAATGTTGGGTTTTTACAACGCTTGGTCATTCACAGGTCGAGTTTGGGTGTTCGTCTCTTGAATGCTTATTATTGGCGCAGGTCGCCGCTTGCTCTTTTCTACTTGATAGAACGCATTTTCGGGCCCAAACAGATAAGATAGTAGGATTCATTAAACAAAAAAATTAATTTTAACTTCTAGCTCGAACCATCCGTTGAACTTCCTAACGGTGCAGCGCATCAGGCGGCTCAAAAAAAGAAAAGAAGATTTTTATGGCTAGAGGAATGACGTAAAATGACTGAGGCTCTCACACAAGTAATTGCGTAATTGCGGCCCATTCAAAATGAGTCGTTCTGTAAAAGTATGAAATTAATTCGTCAGATGTATCTGCCACTCACGCAATCCATCAGTTATGTTTCTGTTGCCGATATACTTACATCAAAGAATAAAATGATGTCTACCGAAAAACATGGTTAGAGATGTACTAGAGTACTTCCTTTCAGCCAGCTTGAAACCATATTCAGATGGTCAGAAGTCTGATCGCAAACCACTTACGGTGGATGGTAAACCCTCTCCGTAAACTAGTACCGGAAGTTAAAGGAAGTCTTTGTCCCAAGCGTTTTTTCACAACCCGAATGTTCGCCTTGCGTCAATCAAAAGTTACGCTTTAGCAGCTGGTTCCGTGTGCCCAACATTTTTTAGAACAGAAAATTGCGTTTTATTTGGTGTCTGCCCAGGCAACACCAAACCGCTGTGCTTTCCTTTTGGCCGTTCACCCTATCCACCTACAATCTAGGGGATTACTGTTTCGCTAAAAAGCGAATTGAAATATGTCCGAGCATGCATGCCTTCATCCGCATTGATGCCCTGGATCTAAATGACACAGTATTTTTATGTTACATTACTGTCGTAATAGCCCTTTTTGGGGGGTGCCCATGCTATCGCTTTTCCATGTACTCTTTTTGCAACTGATTCTGTACTGATATATCATGCCGCTGTCTAAAGTGAGGGCTTCCTATTTTTAGGATTTTAATATCCGAACTCCCAACTATCTAAACACACCAAGCATTGTGAACGTCTTAAGCTTGAAATGCGCTTGAAATGACGTATTCCTCTCAGTATTATTCTTTATCTCTGTCGGCGCGAAATCCAGATACTCTAGAATATCACTGCTTGGATGACTTAGCCGTTCCATTACGGGAAAGAAAAACAAGTCAAAACACGCATTACCCTGACAGCTAGTTTGTTCGCCGAGCTGGGTAATTTGATTGTCAACTTGTCATCATCGCTCGGTGCACTTTAAGTGGAACTGAGTTGAGGTTGGAGGCCAGCATTACAACATGAACTGCAAATATTCTCTCCTGTGACATGCCTTACTCTGCTTGCAGCTCTTTTGAGTGATCACTCAATAAACCAAGAAAGCAAATGGTCTCCTAAGGCATGTGCCAAAAATACTAATTTTACAGGACTATATAATATGGACCCGTTTTAGACCTGTTTTTTCTTGTTTAATTGTATGGTTTTGTGTAAAATTCCAAAGTGAATTTCAATTATCTGAGTAGCGGCGCTTTAAAACCCTGTTCGAAACAGAATATAAGACGTTCTTGATGACATGTGTCACCGACTTTATGGGTGTTTGTCTGTGTGCTTGCGCTTCCCTGCCTATTAGCAATGAATTTGTCGGGAACCATGTCAGCTTTCAGCATATGACTAACAACAAGCTCCTCGTATAACGGCATTTGGGTCTCCTGACCAAAAGGATAAATGTCAGACAAAATGGCTGATACTGTGGCAGTGAAATCTTTTCTATACTGTATGCCTGAAAAATTTGGAGCGGCCTTCCGGAGGTACCAATTTTCGGGAGTTCCTGCAATGGATCTAAGAATAAATCGTAAAAAAACGACTGAATGTAAACAAGTTCTATTTTTATTGTCAACTTTGGAAGAACATGTTAGGTTGGGGGAGCCACGATCTACTTTTATAGTTTGAGTCAAACTTTTAAAGTTAACCGAAAAGTAGAAAAGTATGGGCATGTGAAATGGTAATGTAGAATATCATAAAAATTTTGAGATGAATAGGGAGTTATAAAGTTAAATAGGTCCATTAAGTCCTGTCTGTGTGTCTAGATATCAGGCGGTTTTAATTACGAAACTGACTAAACAGTAAATTACTAGAAGACAGAAATACACAAGACAGCAATTAGACGAAGAGCACGTCTGAGCTGAAGTGCTAGTGATCCAGAGTCCAAATAATCGGCTATCTCCAAATGGTGTGCAATAAAAACACCTCTGAATACAAGACCTTGTTGATGGGAAATCAAATTAAATGAGCGTCTTTTGATGCACGTGTAAATTGTGAAAATACGGAGTAACGTGTACTTGAGAGCCGTGGAAATGCAACCTGACTAGAAAGAAAATGAGTTTTGGACCTCGTTTCAGCGAAGTCGTTCTCAGACAGGCCATTAAAAATGACAGGCAGAATGACTGGTAGCACGGAAAGGCACACAAGCTTGCGTATAAAATTGTAAAAACTAAATTGGATTAGCTTTCTCAAGTGTTTTTAGCAGTGGAAAGAATTTTTAGTCCAAATAAAAGTGATGAAGTTGGAGTCAGTATCCCATTGCCAACAGTTCAGTGAACACTTTTCAAGGTCTTTCATAGAATCAGCAACAACAGACTGATCTAAGGATATCTCCGTTAAGCAGTGAAAGGTTTTGTATTGTGTTAACTTCAGAACAATCGAAAGTTGGAACAGATTAAAAAATATCTCAACCCGACGAGCACTGGCATAGGACGAAATGACACGATAATAAACAAAGCCATCAGTACAGTTCAGAATTTTGGCCGGGTAAACAGTTTGAAAATCAGTGTGACGCTTGAAAATGGAGATAAAACTGGACAGAGGAAAAGAAGAGTGGGACCAGGACCCTGTCATACAAATTTTGAGTATTGAAAAAGGCAGGGAGACCAACTCACTAGCTGACCGAATGAGAACTTCGGGCAAGAATTAAGGGCTGTTTACATAGAGTAATTTAAGCCGCAGATAGGAACCATTAACACATAATTAGCGATGGAATGACCCATGCCAAGAGAAGAAGCAGTAAAGTGGAATGGCAAGCCACCCTACTCTCTTGTTTGTCGCGTGTGCAAGTAGGACGAGGTCTAAAGGAGAGACCGAGTAAATATTACCACCACTAATAATAGTAAAAATAATAGTGGGATAAAAATAACTTTCAATAATTTTCAGTAAAACTGTAGAAAACATGAAGCGAAATATTCTGCCTGTTGTAGAAGCCCGCCTAGAATAAGCGGCTTTCTTAAGGTCACATATTGAGAGGAAAAATGATGCGTAGTCATACCTGTACAGATTCAATTATCTCGAATTCACAATAGCCGTCAACCTTATGTCCCAAATGAACACGGATTGTACGCAAATAGGGGAATATACTCATTTCTGATCTGAGTTTATCTTCATAGAAGACTCAACAGAATCCGGCTAAATCATCGGTTTGCCATATTCTTCTTGAAATAAAGGGGTTGCGAAGATGGCGGTTTATGTTTCAGCCGGTACAATTTTCGGGAAATTGCAGTATATTATCTTGACAGAAAACACTGATACAAGGGTCAGTGGAAATTATTCGGTTTTGTCATTCTTGTGGCTCATTATACAATTGCCAAAGCGTACATTTTACTGTTAAATTATCAAATGAGGTTGACAGAAATTCAGAGGTGGCGATTCCTAAAGAGGAGAAACTGGTCATGGGAGGTATAACTGATTTCAGTAGCCTTGTGAGTAGTGTCTACCTTTGAGAAGATATATTGTGATCTCTTGGATATCATCTAAATGAAATACGAGGCTGCTTGTGTGCAGTACATTCAGCTAAATAAGGATTCACCTGGACTTGGTTTGGTATTGCATGAAAGCTGGTTTACTCATAAACGTGCTTATCGCACAATGGCTGATTTAGTTCTGAATAACTTTTTAGAACTCCAAGATTAATGTGTCTAGCCGGAAAGGGGACTTAAATTTACGTATTTCCAAGCATATCTGCGAATTCTATTCATTTAGGACGGCACAACTCCTAAAATTGAATTTACGCTGTTTGTCTTTCGAGTCCTTTGAAGTGCACGAATCTTACTAAATATGTGCTGCAAAGGGATAATTTTCCGACAGCACGACTGGTTACGTTACCTGCACTACAAAAATCAAACTTGCTTTGCAAATTGTCCCGCGCAGATCATATAAGATGAATGAAAAGAGGAGTGTCGCTATGAATGATTGCAAGAACATAGGCTGAGATAATACGGTTTTCATAGGTGATTTTGTGCATGAAATTTACGAAAGAACAGTAACCCAAACGATCGGCAAAGTTGTCAGCTGTCTGACTCTCTTGAGCATCTTGTTGCCCACTGTGGCGAACCAAGAAAAAGTGATTTGAAACAAACGAAGATCGATTATTACTCCTATAAATCGAGGTATTTCTACGTGGAGTCTTGACGCCTGCGTCCGCTTTTTTGACGTTATCTGACATACTAATGGTAACGTGACATTTGAACCATTTAAAACGAGCAACGTAGTCTTTGCTATACAACTTGAAACTACTTCTTTGATGCACCTGGTTAAGGGAGAGAGAAAGTATTTTCCACGCGTATCGGACTGGCGCGATAGAGTTACTAAGTTTGTCGACAAAGGAATATGTGCGACAGCTGATATCTTGTGTGATCTCCTGGCAGTCAACAACATTTATCTACTTGGTTCTAGTAGAATTTACCTTGCTTCCCATATAAACACCCAACTTGATACAGAGAAATATTTCACAAACAGATTTGTGGTGTTATAATACAGCCTGCATTGTGACATACACTATGTGAGGTAGGTGCTGACATGACTCGGAGAGAATCATGTTATAACACCTCAGCCGCATTTTACTGTCAAGTACACGTCGAAGATATTTTATTTCTGTCCCATGGGTAGAAGTCGGACGGAAACCTAGCAGTCATGAGCGAATTGTTCGTCGGACTCCGATGTGAATGTCTGTCCAGTATACAGAGAGGATACATGTAGGTTCTAACTGAAGGCCTTCAAAGGTGGACTATGATTACCACTTACAATTGATCTAGTTTGGTGTTACATACAGCAGTGCGAAAGGGACAATATCGGAAGTTAGGCTGCAAAAGAAATCATTCGGGGATGTTTATCGAACTGTCCGGCATACAAAATGAGTATCATAAACCCAGTGCTTTGGAAGAAGGTAAACCAGCTTGTTTGCGTTTAGCAACTGAACATCTGATATCCGCACGCAGTCAGGATTGTCCATCTGGTATTATTATCTATTCTCTCGTTACCGAACCATTTTGGTTTCGTAAGTTTTGCTACTTTTTCGGCAGTCTGATAATATACTGAGCGTTTCGTTTACTCGATTTGCATAACAGCTCAAGGCGTTCCGAGAAATAAGGCCAGGAATGTTCTAAAGTGTCTTCTGCATGCAATGAACAGTATAAACAGCTACAAACGTGAAGGAATCATTATCTCTTCCCAGGAAGGACAAAGTTTGCAAAATATTAATTCAGTATTTTTTGGGCTTGTCGGTTCTGCATCTATGCACGAATCCAAGTAACTTGCATTTTACCAATCTGCAGCTAATTTTGAGAAGCAATATGTCCAGCCAACTTTGACAGCAACAACTCTTTCGAACGCTTCGAGACGGACGATCCTAGAATGAGTTGGACGAGTGGTTGTTCTGATTGGGTTCACCATTCCAAAGGATAAACATAACTAATCAAACAGCATAACGAGAACAGAAAACAGATTAGGACATTAGTCCATCTATGGTCAGCCGACCGTCCACACTTGAACAATTTGTAGAAAATTCCGTGATGGGCATGTCTGGCTGCTGACTGACCTTCAAAGAAAAATGTGATATTCTTTCGATATTTACAGAGGAAACGTTATTAATTCATAACGGTCTGTTGCATCCTAGGTAGCCACTACATTTTTTGCGAGGCGTTTCAATAAGATATCCAAAATGACCCTACCAGAGGCTCAGACTATCTTACTGGAAATTTCATGATAAACCAGCTTTGCGTTAAAGTGTTCATCGACAGAGCTCACTGGTTCATATTCCACACCAGAGATTCGGATCTAACATGAAAAGAGTTTTAATTTCCGTAGAAGGAACCTATGAACCTGTGAATTTCACTGCGTTTTCATGTTTTAATTGCCCGAGGCTCGTAACTAGAGATTTATTGGAAGCGGCATCGAATCTAGGAACTGTGGGCGTTGCTTGACGTTTGCAACCAAACATTCGAAAGAACAGTAAAATCTTTAGACCAGAAAGTACCGCTTAATGTTGTAATTAGTTAGGTTGAAATTTTTCAGTTGATAAATAGGCAAAATTACCCGAATGTTGCATCAAGTATAAACTGGGTTGCAGAGCCGTTAGTACAGCACATCTAACTGTCTTCGGATTGACTCAGTCAACCTGGGCGTGGTCAAAGCAGATGCTGCACATGACTGAACTGGTCACGTGTCCGTCTAGAACGACATAATTCTCAAACGGAAACTGGGCTTGCTCCCACCTGTGAGGCAAGTTTTAGAGCCGAGGTCGGGGAAGTAAGTGTACAGACGACTTCGGCTAATTTGTCACTAGGGTAACAAAAGTATCACAAAGTACCGACGATCCACGTACCCACCGTACGGCAGCTGAGCAGAGTGAAGACACATCTTGCTCTATTGAACGCCTTTGGGCCTCGGAAAAGTCTTCTCGAGAGGTAAATTGTACAATCACCTTGCTATCGGACGAATCGCTTTGTAGTAGTAACCAATATTTGCTGAATGAAGGGAAAAGAGAAATAAGAGACAATGGAAAGGTTTTATAATGTTCTTACAGGTGACTTTGCAACTTTGCGTAGGGCTGTACCTGACCCCATTTTCACCGTTAAACAATATTTGAAAGTCCAGATTTCTAGCTGGAAGTGGTCGATAAATTACAAGCTACAATTAGCTGGTTACTTTTATCGTATTGAGAAATTTTTGTTTGTCTCCTTTATGTTAACCATATGTTTGCAGGCAACCCTAATGTTTCGTACCTAGAGGTGTGTAGGAAAGGGCACCCAAGACAGCTATTATCACTTATTTTGAGGAAGTCAGGAAAACGTTTTGGGAAGTAAGATAACAATGTAGAATTTAGGTAAATGAACACAGAAGAGCTATTTAAGTAGCCCTTGCAGGTTTACGCTTTCTGTAACGTTTTGTAATACTTCTTGCGGTTTGATATTTTGAGCCTAAATCTGTCCTACATAAGCATGATGTGTCGCTTACTAAAAGCCAAATTAAACCTGTAAGTTATTGAGAAATGAGATGATCTTATGGTATTACGTCGTTGGAAGTCAAGTCAGTAGTATGTGGGGAAATCCGCAGCCTAAGCGGTAGACAACATTTTCCTAACCTGGTTCAATAAACTCAGCTACTGATTCATTATTCAGTAGGCTTATGCCTGGCGCAGAGGCATAGTAGCACTGCTGTTGCGTCAACAGTTACTGTTGCACCAGTTCTCTGCTGGCTCTAAGCGCTCAATGACCGGCCAGATGAGCGTGAGGTGTCCGGTGTATCTGGCACAAAAGATGGTGAGGTGCCACTGGCCACACTGTTAGGATCTAAGCGCTCAATGACCGGCCAGATGAGCATGAGGTGTCCGGTGTACTGGCACAAAAGATGGCGAGGTGCCACTGGCCACACTGTTAGGTATGATACCTAACGAAAGTTTAAGTTACAGCCGGAGGATAGCACGATAACCAATCTTTGTAATTTGTTTCAATGAACTTAAAGGCTGAAAGTACAGAATATAACAACGTGAAGTGTTACTCTGGAAGGTAAATGAAACTAATCGAACCGACGAGTGAACAGACTATTGACAAACTGTGATAACCACCACTGGACAACTGTCAGTTTATAGGCGTTTGAATAAAGGATGGTGTAACCTTCCAACAAAAGAAAATAGGTCACGTGACAGGGGATCTTCCTCCGGAATAGTGGAGAAGTAGGCTGGATATAGCGTTCTCTGGTCTATACTAATTACTTGCTTGTTTGATGGATTCACAAGAAACAGAAAGTATGGCTGTTGTTCCGTATGACAAGAATACAAGGCTTAAGGAAATGCTGACAGAACAAAATCCTGTTAATTGAATTTTATTGACATCAAGCACGTTAAAACAGGCAATTTTTGCCTAGCGTTCTATTCAGGCATGAATTTCGGGCTTGCAACTTCTTAGCTTTCAGTTTTCTTGCACCTCTAGTCAATTTTGACTGAGATTTTTTGTACTGGATTACGCGGTCATAATAAACTAGCTTGTTTAAGTGTCGATCGAATACGGCTTGGATTTATCGCAGTAATGCCACTTTTACACTGAACAAGATGGACGCAGCTAAACAGCATTAAATAAGACCAGCGTGTCGCACTAGAATGTTTCAGCCACAGCTAAGCAACAAATTAGTTACTGCATTCCACTAGTATAAAGAGAGAACCCTTCAGAAGAATCACAGACTGTGTAAAGGTAGCTTCAGCCTTTGAGTTTTGCGTTAACAAGTGAAGTTTAAATCACTGTACGGGGGTATGATAGAATTCTGAGCAAGGAGTTTTGCCATTTTTATCCTGATCAAGCCCAACAAGAAGGAGATACCTCCGAATATTGAATGGACCACGTACAGCCATTTTGTTAGCAGACTCTCTTGCGGGAAAAACTTATAGTTCACCGACTATGATTACCAAGGGATCAGTCTTGTCTTATTTTACTTGAAGACTATCGAACAGAAGTGTCCAAAAAATCTCACTCCCGGTGACGGCCGTGGCACCGTACATCATGGTTGCAGGCCTCATGGTCCGTTGACATGAGGATCAGATGAAGTCTCCAGCCCACAGTAAAAATTAGCTACAAACAAGGCTGTAAGTGAGAAGTTGAGTGCTACCGGCGGCTTAAAACTGTTGAATGTAGCTGAATTTATACCATCCGACTATACTTTCCAAGGAACACAATGCTTTAGGCATCGTGGCATTACGCGAAGGTGCGTCCTCAGGGACATAATACCTTCAAAATCGGGCCATTATGACCTCTCTTCTGTAATAATGGTTCAGTTGCATATTAATGTTACGAAACAACCTTGAGAAGATAAATCAAGTTGGATCGTATAAAACAAAAGTTGAAAGCGTGAGAGGAGAAAACACAAAATTCGGTATTCTTTAGATATTTAGTAGGTATTTACCTTGATGTTGAACACCGGAAGCAAATCATTTTGAAACAAATTCATAATTCACTATTTTGCGCTCCCATTTTGTTCATCTTTGTCATCTGTTTGCGTTGCATGAAAATCGCCCAGTAGTCATTTGGTAAAGAAAATATCTGAACCAAAATGCTTTGTGCAGCGAGTTTATCTGATCACACACAGTCAGAACGGAACAAATGGACTTGACCACTCACTTTTTGTGTAACTGGTTCAATTTTCCGATCAGATGCTTCGGATCCATATCCTGGATAGCAGGTTCGTCTGATAAGGTCAATTCGTAAATAAATCGATTAGAAGCGCGGGATTTCTGATCTAGTTTACATATACAACAAAGACCACGGATGTTTGGAATCAGGCATTCCTGCGCACTCAACATCGCCTCTTTTGTTCCTGATAAAAACTTTACCACTGTCAACAACAAGCGATTTTGACTGCTCAACAGGATTACGAATGATAAAATTGTAAACCGAATGAACTCTTGTTAGAATGTGCTTAATATGGTGCTTTTGCTGGGCTTTTGTTTCCTGACCTAATGACCACTGTTTTAGTAACATCGAAAGTTGCTTGATTGCTTATTGTCAAAGAAAATTAGCGTTGTTCAGCGTTCCTGTGAAAGTGTTTATTGGCTTATAGCCTTAGCCTTTTGGTACATTGTGCGGGCATCCAGGCAGGTGCTACTTAACAAAATTTTAACACCTTCATAAACTAACAAACAGATGATCAGCTGTCAAGGGTCACTTTAAGGTATATTCTTCATAGATGCAATTGAGAAACGGTCTTGCTCTGCTCTGGATTTGTATGAAGTTCACCGGGTGTCATTTTGGTAAAAAAAATCCTCTTTCTGAATACTTCAGGTACGTTGGTTCACATGGTTCTGCTCCTATGAAGCAGGTTTTTGCTTGCTCATGCTTATGAGAAGCTGAAAAACCTGTTCAGGCTAGGCTGCCCTACAATTTTTATCGCGAAGCCTGGTTCACCGCACCATCCCTTTTTCTCGAGCAAAGCGCCGAAGTGTGAAAGGACAGAGTTTAACTGTTTTGGTCGATAAGGGTACATTAGGGCGGGCTATAATAAAGTAATCAGGTAGTAGGTAGAAATGTTCTACACAATAGAGCCAGATATGCTTTCAATGTGAAGCTTGTGGAGGATGACGAGTACGAAAGTAGCAATCAGTTCACTGCACAAACATATAAAACAAGAAATATCTAAAAAAAATTAGCCTAAAGAGAAACCCGTTTATCGGTAAGCAATTTTGTTTGAGATTTTCTGCACAGGAGTGACCAGATGTTGACAAATTAAGACTGATGAGTTCTTTAAATAAATGCGTTTGATAACACTAAATCCAAACAAATACCAAATATCTCTTGCGGCGTCCAATAAGTGAACAATGTGCGGAGGAACAGAGTTTGGAAGCAGCCTAACCTGAAGCGGTGGTCGGGATATAACCCGTATTTTCACTTATTTCTACCTTGCTTGTAAAGTTGTCATATCTGAAGCGGTTGCAATACATCATTAAGTAATGAACGGAAGCTAAACGGGCGAAATTCGTTTGGCAAGCAGACTATAAATGTGATTCTTTTGGACGACCTTCGGAAAAAGTTGTGCTCAATCCAAATCATTCACAAAACTGAGGGATATTTTACATTGGAACGCACGAATTACGATTCTTTGGAAGTGACGGTGCTATTCATTCTGTGGGATCAAACTGCCCGAAAGCTTTCGTTTATACCAATGTTAATGTCAGTGGTACCGTGTGGAAGGAGTAAATACACTTCCCTTAAGGGAGTAAATAAAAATCAGTGAAGCATTCGGATGCTAAATTCGTTTGTTAGATGGAATCACCTAAAGTCACTTGTTGTGTGAGTAGGCTTCATGATCTAATTTATTAGTACACGCCGTTTTGCAGGACGAGAAGTTGCATAACGGTATTACCATTCTTGGTTTGAAATTCGATGATGCAAAATGCTGAGTTTTTTTTAAAACTCGGCGCAGTATGTTATTGGTTACACGTGGGAAGATGTGCAACCTTCACAAAACAACTTTCAGACGTTTGTCTGATGAATCCTAACAAAGCCAAGCGATTTGTTGCCACAGACGTTTTTGGAACAAACCAAGCTCCCCTTCTGATGCGGTGTCTGGAAACTTATCATTAACCGTCCATCATTCTGGAAAGAGTTTTTTCAATAATAACACCGATAACGCTCTCGAAATAGTCAATGATCTCATTTGAGACAAACACTCGAATTGGACAGTATGTGAATTGGGCTTAGTAGCCGGTTACAAAATAATAATAATACAAAAAATATCATAAAGCGGCAAGAAAATGATGTGAATCTTGATATAAATTTCAAGAATTCATTTCTGCTTGCCTCATACAACTGCATAAATGCACGCTTGAGAATTGCTTCGGCAATCATACCTGCAGGAAATAGTGGAGAAAATATTTCCGATACGTTCTTCCATGAGTGTGCCACTCGCATCTAGACAGTAAAATAAATTAAAGCTCAATTACTTGTACAGCGTGAATATAAGGAGAAGCGAGTGTAAATTTGATCTGGTAAGTCTATGTATTTTGCTAACAGACGTCTTTCGCTACTACAATAACATTGTTTTTTTAAAAAAAGAAGCTGAAAATTATGTCAACGACGCACTTCCTCATCCAACTTTTTTGAGCTTGTATTCAGATTACCCGTGAAACAAAAGGTAAAAATAATCATGAAAAAAAGCAAAGTTATCAAGCATATGGAAGCTGCTACAAAGCGATTCATGCAAACAGTGCGTTAGTTTGAAAGAGAATGAACCGTTTAAAGCAAATATGATGTTACTTAGATGAACCTGAATAAAGTATCACTCATCTAGACTAAATTCGGACATGAGCAAAGACTCTGCTCATATGAAGTATTGCACCGTATTTAGCAAAGCTATTAGGGGAATTCACATGACCCTCATGCATTCACACAGATAAAACTGGTGCATCATCATCATCATCGACAGCATGACATCAGTGTTCAACACCGATACTTCACTGCCGTACAACCATGACTTATTTGAAAGCCTTATTGTAAAGAAAAGAATAAAGGTGGGTGGGGGAGGGATTTAGTGTTAGCTTACCACAATCATTCCGAGGTGCCTACACCTCCAGACATTCACCCAGGCAATCTGGATAGAAACTGACAACAAGAACGCCACTGACATCGGTTG